TACATCCAGATAAATTTGGAGTGAGTCTGGGCGGAACGGTCAATTAGCATATGGAAAGTGAAATAAGTTAACACTGACAGTCACTAATTAAACAAAAGTCGAAAACTGTTTCCTGGACGAGAAAAAAAAAACACACACACCTCACAACCTTGGTAAGTTTTGTCGTGTCTTGAGTTTTTTTTTATTATGATATAACTTAAAAAAAACACACACACAAAAAAACACTAAAATAAAACACTAAAATTTAATTGAAGATAACAGTATGGAGACTATGTGCTTTGTCTTGCTAGCTGGAGTGAGAAATGTTACTTAGTGAGGGAAATTTTCGTGACGCTTATGATGATAGTAACCATCTCCCCTTTCTTTCCCTATCTTGTTCCTGTCCCTCCTTTGCTCCTTTCCCTTTCTCCCCTCCTTCCTTCCCTTGCTCCTTTCCCTTCCCTCCTTTGCTCCCTTCACCTATCTCCTCTCCCTTCCTTCCTCCTTGCTCCCTTCCGTCTCTCTTTTCCCTCCCTACCTCTCTATTTTCCCTCCCTTCCTCCCTCTTTTCCCTCCCTCCCTCCCTCCCTCCCTTTTTCCCCCCTTTCTCTTTTCCTTCCTCTCTTTTTTTCCTCCCTCCCTCCCTCCCTCCCTCCCTCCCTCCTTTTCCCTACCCTCTTTTTCCTTACCCCTCTCTTTCCTCCCCCTTTTCTCCTCTTTTCCTCCTCCCTCTCTTTCTTTCTTCCCTCCTCCTTTTTCCTTCTCCCCCTTTCTTTCTCCTTCCCTCCCTCCTCCTTTCTTTTTCTCCCCCTCTTCCCTCCCTCCCTCTTTTCCCTCTATTACATCCTAATATAATCATCTCACTCTTGTAAACACAGTCAACAGCATACAACACATGTGAGACGACGGTTCCTATGTCTTATTTACACGACTCTCTTGTCCTAACATTTCATTTCTCAAGACTCACAGTTCAACAGTTACACCGGCATAACTTATTTAAGGGTTCCTCCGTCTGGGTCTTAGCGTTCAACTCTGTGACCTTCCCACCTCTCTCTCACACATACACACACACAGACCTCTCTCTTTATCTCACACATACACACCTTCTCTCTCTTTCTCTCTCTCACACACACACACCTCTCTCACACACAAGCAATGTATATGATTAGTTAGCTTCACTTTTATGTAGTACGCATTTAACTTGAGGATGTGGGGATAGTGTAGAGTTATTTCCACTTGTTGTTTCTGCTGTACTCTTGTTTTGTATCAGTAAACGCCCAGGCTGTTTTGTTTACAAGTCGAACCGTTATCGTATGCGGATGTGTCGTCGTTTTTCCTCATAAGTTGTCGTTCCTCTCGTAAATCAGATTAGGATTAAAATTGTGTTTTACTTATTATTAATGTATTATTTTGGTAAATTTGGTTGAGTTAGGTGAGGTATTTTATATGATATCACCCGTGTATGAAATGGGGTGTAAACGACCTGTATTTTCCCTCTTTTTTTTTTTAATCGAGGCTAGTGTGTACATTTATCCTTCCATTACTAATATGGAGAAAAAACTTAGTTAAGATTATGAATATTTTCCCTAGTGTATTTATTTATGTCTACTTATGTTTCTCTAATGAATAAATAAACATTCTTTGAGGTTTTCTTGCTGTTTGTGAGTTAAATGATGTTTCTTGTACTGACTAAACAAAAACATTGGACTCGCATTGTTGACAGAATATTTATTTGTGTTTCTCTAATGAATAAGTAAACATTTTTAGGGGGGGTTTTCATGTTAGTTGTATGTTGATTGATGTTTTTTTGGTAATGAATAAATAAAACATTCTTAGGGCCCAACATTTATTGTCGTTTCAGGTCATTATTTACAACATTGCACAAGGCAGAACACAGTGGATGAGGAAGCATTTATGAGTACCTCGAGGGCTTACACACACACACACACACACACATACACACACATCAACCTAACCAAGACACTGTATGATGATAATAATGCTGATAATGATAATAATAATAAATACATCAAGTCTCTCTCAACATAACTTTTCTTCATCCATTGTCTCACTATTCACAAAAAAACAAAAACAATAATGCTACTACCATAAGTCTGGCTCTCATTTTAATTATGCTAAAGAACTGGGTATGACTTAGCCTGTGTATGTAACTCGCAGCCAAAAAAGTATCTTTACGGAGAGGGTCGATGAATTTCACAATGAACACTGTGACTCCTGTTGTCTCGGTAGGGTTGTCATAATCCTTCGTCCGTTGTGTCATATTGTCAAACATAAAATCGTTAAGGTACTTTTTTTGAGGGGGAGCGAATATAAAGTTTCTGTTTATGACTTATGATACCTGAAGTGAGCCAACCAGATGTTACTTAATGGAAGTTAACGTAACATTATGATTTGGGATTAAGTTTCTTTTTGTGTTCCGCATCACCTCACTGTAGTTCACTGTACAGTACTTATTTTCACCACAGTGTCCTAATACATTAAGGTCGTTTATCACACATACAGTCTATGTCATACACATCTCTGTAGCACAGGTAAATTGAAAACCAAACACAGGTAGGTCGTCAGTCCTTAAGCAAATCAATCTCTATAATCATCATGTCTCATACAATGTTTTTTTTCTTTAATATGAATATGATTAATGACTATACCGTATATGCATGAGGTTCATGACTAATATGCCAAGACTTGTTTGACTCAGTACAGGTGAGTCTATACAGGTAGCCTCGATAGGTAATGATGGGGGGGTAGTACACAGTGATTCAGTGAAGGGGGACACGTGTACAAGGTGTGTGTTTGTGTGTGTTTACGTGTGAACCTGAATGCAGCGACACACACACATACATGCACACACACACACACACACACACATACACACACACACACACGTTCAGTTGTTGTTGTTTAATCATTCCTCGTGTGTATATTTGTCGTTAATGGTGAAATGGATCCCAGCCTTATTAAGCTCTGATTCAGGTGGTTAGGTTAGGTTAGGTTAGGTTAGGTTAGGTTAGGTTGGAATTTGTTTGGACTGGGCTTCATTAAGTCCATATGCGTCATTAAGTGTGAGGGAGAGGTGGTGTTGGTGGTGTTGGTGATGGTGTTGGTGATGGTATGTGTGTGTGTATATCCGCCAAGCACAAGGTCTCCGCCACACTATGGACTGCACTGAACGACACAAGCGATATGTATACATTACGCTATTATTTAACACAGTGATAACAAGTCGATGGTCCAGCAGAGGTAGACGAAGAAAAGCTTACGTCACGTCACGCAATAGAGTTCATTCTAACACTAAAGTATTATAATAAACCAACAAACTAAATACTGATATGAATAGTAATACATGTAAAATAAAACTGAAATCATACATAGGAGATACAATACATATACATAGATGTGTTTTAATGAATACAGGAATGTACGTCAGAACATAAAGAGAAGATAGGGTGGGTTTTCAGGGCTCATACAGTATACCATGTGAAGGGGTATACCGTGTGGCACTCCCCTCACCCCACCCCCCCTCCTACACACCCCTCAGAGGGCACAGTAATTGAGGGAAACTTAACATAAAACATCGCCCTCTGTGTGTTTCGAAGCTTAAATGATATATATGAATGTTTATCATAAAGACTAGGAAGGTACGTTGTTTGGCGGAGGTGTTGACAGACACTTTATATTATTATGTTGCGTATAGACATCTTCCCATACGAAGAGCAACTCGTGGGGTCACACTTAGGCATAGTAATTCATATATTATGGAAGAATCTGACATTCTAAAACCTGACACAATGATCTGTACAAGACTTATGATACAATAATGCTCTGAACCTCATATGCTCCTCCCGCCAGTAGACCTGTGATGGGCGACGAGGGGGCAGCACCTGACCCCCTAGGGACACCTGAGCCAGAGTACCTCGTCCTGGGCTCTGCAGTACCTCCATCGTTAACCTCACTTTCGTTATTCACAACTCTCAAGTCTGTGTTCTGTTTCACTTGACGCCAACACGCTTATGGAATATTAGGTAACAGCCGATGATGTAGTTCACTTATCACGGAAGTTTATGACTACGCAAGAGTTTATTTTTCTTCTCTTAATCACTTGTAGGAGCCGAGTGACTGTCATACTCACGCCCCTGTACTAGAGTATGTGCAGGCTAGCGGACACTACAGCTCTCACCTCACCAACTGAGAACAGTGACTGAAGACACACACTTAGCGACACAGCATCGTGTATCTCACAGACTTTTGTTCTGCTTCAGATACACGAAAATATGAACAGAAGTAACAAAAGCAGAATTCCTTTAGTAATTTATCTCAGCTTCATTATTGTTTCACTTGACAGTCAGGAACAAGTGGAGTGTAGGTCCCTGAACAGCTGCAACGATGAATGATGCAACTGTGTACCGCTTCTCACCTGCAGCTGACGACACATAACACTACCAGTGACATGTGCAGCTGTGTACATGTCACCTTAACACCATGACGCTCCTAACACACCATCATAACTCACTATACCGAGTTTATTTAAAGGAGTTTCATGACCCACTTCAACCCTGCCATATTTAATGAAACCCGGACTCGTGTTGTCAGTGCGTTAGCGTCCAAACAGAAGCTTCTCTCAGGGGCTCCAGCGGCGGTGAGACAATATTAGGAACATTCTTCAACACAGCCCAGTGTTTACTCTCCGTCGACCATAATACTCCACACGTGACACACTTCCTGCAGGTCTCACACACGCTGACGCCTCAATTGTATGCGCTCACATGAATAGATCCCGAGAATAAGAGAGTTCGACCTGAAACGTGAAGTTGAATGTAACCTGAGGGAAATGAAAATGATGTTTGGTGGTGTGGGGAAGGCGGACCACTTACCCCATGTATCTAGGGTGGCTGGTCAAATAGGCCCCAGTCCTAATAGATCCCAGTCCTAATAGACCCCAGTTCTAATAGACCCCAGTCCTAATAGACCGCAGTTCAAATAGACCCCTGTTCTAATAGATCCCAGTCTCCAAATGGGACCAAATCCCAATGGTTAGGGTAGATTGAGAATAGGGTTGGTTCTTATTTGACCTGCGACCTGTACCTAGTAGCGAGGGCGAATACGTACACACACACACACACACACACAGTAGTAAACAACGCTTAAGGTTTATACTGATATGGCGAAGGAGATTAAGGCTTCTCTTATAGCGAGAACTTTGACGTCGAAGAAGGTGAAGGAGGAGGGATGACCACGGGAACACCGCTCACAGAAGGGACAGAAGGAGGAGGGATGACCACGAGGCACACAACTCGTAGGGGGGGCAGAAGGAGAGAAAATTTCACTCATTTATCAGAACTCTTTGCATTAGGGCACTAAAATAATTCTGTGGTCTTTGCAGCACACACACACACACACACACACACACACACACGTAATTTTCGCTGAGAGTGAAGTGAGTTAGTGAGTGTCGTGACTATGGTAGACCAAGAATCCCACATTGATTGGTTTCCGTCTCTCGTGTTTACCTTCTTAGTACGAGAGTGTCTTGGGGAACTGTTGTTGTACTGGTGATGTTGTCCAGAGAGTTAAAGAAAACGGGAGATAGGAAGAAAATGATTTGTTGATTAATTTAGAGGACGTGTTGTGTATGTATGTATTGAGACACACACACACACACACACAGTTGCAATAAATGATTAAACCAAACACAAATTTCAATAGATGTTTCGTCTATGTGTTTCAGCCTCCCAGACAAGAACTCAGTACTTATTAACGTTGGTCTTGGATAAAACAAATTCTAATCACTCAAACTCATCGATTTTTGGTCATTATTTCCCTTCGTTGTTTTTTATTAAGAGGATCTGAGAGTCCGATAAGCCATTAAGACATCCATTACTTCATCTGTCTCTTGCAACATCAAAGAACAACACAGATTGCAATACACGCTCTTTGCAATGCTCGCATGGCTATTTTTTCATCCATGCTAAAAAAAAAAGGACAAAATCAATGCCATTCATGAAATACTGATCAACACACGCTCACCTGTTCACCACGTTTAGGTCACACACACAAAAGAAAGTAATAGAAAAAGTCAATGATTAGTGGTGCAGTTTCTCATTAGGAGAGTTTCCGGAAAAATGGTAATATTTGTGGGAGGGTGGCGAGAGGGGAGGGGGTGAGGGGAGATGGAGAGGGGGGATGGAAGAGGGTGGCAATAGAGGGGGGAGGGACTGCGGAGGAGAGGGACGGAGAATGAGAAGTGAGGTAGGTAAGGAGTATAGGATGAGTCTTCCTACCCCGTTGTGTTCTACTCTCACTCACTCACTCACTCACTGGTCAACGTCTTTATAGCCACAATAAAGTTCTGAGTTTTCACGATGCGTTGATTTCCTGCAGAAGGATTAGGTCTTCGTCAGAGATACACAGTTTGATTACCAGTCGCTGTATTTTTCTACCAAACTGAGAAAGATGCCACCATTTTATAGTGTCTTTGGTCAACACTGGTCGGAGGTGAATACATAGTTACACAGATCGTCATGTTGAATTTCCACACATAACCACACGCTGTTGTATCTTATAGACATCTTCACTTCACACTCAGCACCTGTAGTGAATATTGACAATAATTTATCAAATCAAAGTTTCAACCCAGAAGTAGTCGAGGTTTTTAAGGATTCAGGTGTATAGATGCGGTAGATTTGCTGATGATTGCCTACAGGTGAGGTACTCGGGTCGCCCAGAGTGCCAACAGCGGGGCGAGGGCCAGGCTGAGGATGGTGAGAGGCGAGGTGGTGAGGTGGCCCCCGCTGCCGTGGTCCAGGGAGCTGCCGTAATTTGGCCGACGTCCGTGGTGCGCGGTGCTGCGGTAATCTGCCTCTATCGGGAGATACACACTGGGTCATTAACACGGGGTCATCAACCAATACTACCCACTAGCGTTTTATTAAGGAAGTTTATAATAAGTAAACTATAGTAACCATTATTATTATTATTATTATTATTATTATTATTATTATTATTATTATTATTATTATTATCATACTCGTGTGTTGATGCTCAGTGCACTCACCCTTGTCGTCGTGAGGCTTAGGGTGTCGGTGCTGGCCAGGCAGATCGTTGATGCCCTTAGGGTGATGGTAGACGTCGTACTTCTTGCCTTCTGCGTGAGGGAGAGAAGAGAAGGGCCTCATTACATGCGCCAGTCAGCTCTATGAATATCAATCTTGACATGGACTCATTCACACACAGAGTAAGGAAGGTAATCCTGGTTTGGTAATTAGGAGAAGCGTAATTAAGACGAAGCCAGGTGGTAAAGGTGTCACTGTCATGCAGGTTGCAGAGCTTGGTGGGTGGTGAGGTTAAGTAGTGTTGTGGTTGAAGGGGCAGGTATGGTGATTGAAGGGGCAGGTATGGTGATTGAAGGGGCAGGTATGGTAGTTGAAGGGGGAGGTATGGTGGTTGAAGGGGCAGGTATGGTGGTTGAAGGGGCAGGTATGGTAGTTGAAGGGAGCTTAGTGCTTGTAGGTGGTTGAAAGGGGCAGGTATAGTTGAAGGGGCAGGTATGGTAGTTGAAGGGGCAGGTATGGTAGTTGAAGGGGCAGGTATGGTAGTTGAAGGGGCAGGTATGGTGGTTGAAGGGGCAGGTATGGTAGTTGAAGGGGTAGGGAATGGATGCAGTACAATAAAGCAGGGTGGTAGCGGTACCTTTCATAAATTAGTGGGTCGTAAAGGGTGGGCGGGCGACGGCGGCACTACGAAGGGTGGCAATGGGCGGGCGGTGGGTGGGTCAGGAGAGGGTGGCAATGGGCTGGCGGGGGTGGGTAAAGGGAGGGTGACAAAAAAAAATGGGCAGGCCGGGGTGGGTAAGAGGAGGGTGGCAATGGGCGGCTGCAAGGTAATAACGATACCTTTCATGTGGTGGTGGGTGGTGGTTGGTAGAGGTCCATCTCCAGATTCCACCTCGTTCTCCTCGGGGCCAAACACACCGTTGCTGTGAGCTTTGGGGGGTTCAATCTCTGTCGCGGGGAGAGGAGACATACTGCCGTCAGCACATGCATGGGATGGTGATGGTGGTGGTGATGGTGGTGTGGTGATGGTGGTGTGGTAATGATGTGGTGAAGTGGTAGTGGTGGTAATGGTGGCAGTGAATAGCGATATAGTGCTTAGGAGTTTAATGATGGTAACGTGCGTGTGTGTGTGTGTGTGTGTGTGTGTGTGTGTGTGTGTGTGTGTGTGTGTGTGTGTGTGTCTCAGTCACAGGTGAGAGATTTTGAAGGTGCTGGTGATGGCCTGCTGGTGGTCAGGTAGAGCAGGTGGGTGGTAGCTAAGGGCTTGACCATAAAATAAACGCCACTGCAGGCAAAAGGCGGGCGAACCCTCGTCTTATCTAGCTGTCGTAAGCGAGTCAGTCATTGCTGGGAGGAGAGAGAGAGTGACTGGTGCTATTGATTGTGCGTGATGGCGGCTGTTTTTATAATAGGAACCTTACGAGCCTAGGATTGGTGTTGCTAGGGACTGATGGTGTTGCTGGGTATAGGTGGTGTTGCTAGATAAAGGTGGTGTTGCTAGATAAAGGTGGTGTTGCTAGGTATAGGTGTTGCTAAGTACTGGTGGTGTTGCTAGGTACTGGTGGTGTTGCTAGGTACTGGTGGTGTTGCTAGGTACTGGTGGTGTTGCTAGGTACTGGTGGTGTTGCTAGGTGCTGCTGGTGGTGTTAGGTACAGCTGGTGTTGACAGTGGTCCTAATAAGTTAAATTCCAAGCGAATAAACTAAAATAAATCGATCAAAAACATTCTATACTAAACACACCAAAAAACAATGTATAAAAATAAACATCGTCTTATCCAAATATACGGGAATAAACATAAACATATCCAGCAACTCAACACCCAATATTCACCTTCCTCAACACTAGGCTGGACAAGAACACAGTGTTTAACCTTTACTTGTGTTTACTGATAATGTGAGGAAGAAAAATTATTACTCAACAAAAGTCCTCAATTCTTATCTGGGTTCTCTTTTGACCCTCATTCATGGCCTTCAGAGACCATGAATCTCAATCATGGCCTTCGGGGACCACGGCCTTTAGAGACCTCCACGCAACTCATTTTTCTCTTGTTTTCTGTGACGGCAACGAGGGACTGTGTTATATGAAGCTACATACATTTTTAACTTCTATTATTTTGGCATTAATGACGAGAGGTAGAATTGGGATGAGATGAAGAGAAAGGTGGAATATAAGTCTTGAATACCTGTTACTTTGATAGTTGGTACCGTGTGATGCTAAGAGATGGGAGATACTAAGAGGAGAAGGAGATGAAGGAGGAGAAGAAGAAGGGGGAAGAAGGAGAAGGGAAGGAGAAGAAGAAGGAGAAATATGGATAGTTAATCAAGGTGGAATAATGGCGTCATTTTCCTTTCATTACTTAAATACAACTTCTTCATCACATTACCACATACAGTACACTCATACATCTTTGACAACGCCTCGAATAAACTAAACAGAATTTCGGGATACACACAGTCCATCATCTAACAAGGTATAAAAGGTGAATAGCAAGAAAAAAAAATAACCAGATAACTAGATTTAGAGAGTGATAAAAATGCAGAGTGCAAGTGGGTGAGTTGGAAGAAGAGGGGGAGAGGAGAAGGCAGGGGTGGGAGGGACGGTTCATAGTCTCTCCACCCAGCCACCCACAATGCCAGCTTCGCCTTTACCAGCAAACTGAGTTACCTACCTCGATGGAAGTCTGAATAAATTATGTAGATTGAAGAGTAATTTAATCTACCTGTGCTAGACCCCGTGGTAAAAAGGTACCTCCGTGGCAGAAGGGTCTAAGACGTTTGATTTTATTACCTGGATTCTTGGAACACATCAATGAATTTTAAACCTTTTTTTGGGGTGGGGGGGTGGGGTTGTTTTATCACGAGGGGACACTGTCTTCTTCGTCGGGAGGTTGTGTGTACTGCTGTGTACTGTACTATTATGTATTACTGGGTGTTATTGTGTACTTGTGTGTGCCTCTCTGTACTCTGGTGTATTGTAACGTGGTCCAAAGTACTCTCATTTACTCAAATATACTCTCGGGTACTTCTTTGTACTCTTGAATACGCCTATGTACTCCTGTATACCCCCCCTGTACTCTTTTATACGCCTATGTATTCCTATACCCTCCTATGCGCCTTTATAGTCCTATGTACTCTCGTGTAGTCCTATGTACTTGTGTGTGTACTCTCAGTGTTCTCATAAAGGGCTTTTTTAATACTTTTACACAAGTTTGTTTTCCAGTGTCTCGATAAGGAAACTTTTTCACCACGTACAAAGCTGCTGTGTGATACGGCGGTGAAATGTGCGACAGAACCAAACAGCCGACGACAAATTAGATTTCGTTCTGTTGTCCCACTAAAGTAACTATGGAACCTGTGAAAGGAACGGCAGGGGGGGGGGACGGGGAGGGACAGGGGGGAGGGAGGGGGGCAGTGTTTGTAGCCCAGGGAAGGTACGGAACTTGGTAGTATCAGTGGTAAGTAGCTTTAAGTAGCTATGGAACGTAGTAGTATCAATGGTAAGTAGTTTTAAGTAGCCATAGAACTTGGTAGTATCAGTGGTAAGTAGCTTTAAATAGCCACGGAACTTGGTAGTATCAGTGGTAAGTAGCCCTAAATAGCCACTGAACTCCGGAGCATGAATATTAGTGAAAAATTGCACTACTAGTACAGTACACAGACGACAGGGGGCGTTGATGTAAAGTACTTGTAAACAAAGACAAGTGACATAGACAAAGGCAGAGAATGTGTAAAGAAAGAAAGAAAGAAAGAAAGAAAGAAAGAAAGAAAGAAAGGAGAGAGGAAAACAGATATATATATATATAGACAGAAATACATAGATATTATATCGCGTGAAATATCGAAATAGCAATCAAAATTTCCGATATTTCGTTGTATTGTTGACACTATTTTATATACAGTGACCACAGCTGTTGTAAGAGTGAAGTGTAGATGGCATACTATAGAGCCATCTCTCTCTCTCTCTCTCTCTCTCTCTCTCTCTCTCTCTCTCTCTCTCTCTCTCTCTCTCTCTCTCTCTCTCTCTCTCCACCTTTAAACATTTTGGAGTCACTATTCCACCAGTACCACCACCTTCCTTCTTTCCTTCCCCTTCCCATTCTCCCTCCCTCCCTCCTTCCCGCACCTCTTCCCCACAACATAAAGCCTCCCCTTTCTGAAGTAAAAATTTGTACAAGTGCCTCCTGGACGCACTCGAGGGAGGAGCAAAAGGCTTCACCCTAAAAGAGTTTCATTCGCGTCCTCTCCTTACCTGAGTGAGAATTTATTGTCTGGTTACCTGTTTGTCTCGCTGTAATTTTCCCTCCATTGTGAGGTGTTTGGTGGCGAGGGTCCCTGAGGCGGCCTGGGTAGGGGAGGGTGAGGGGAAGGGGGGTGGGGGTAGAGGGGGTGAGGATGGGAGGGGCGTTCACATTTCTTCTGTGTCATTGTCTTTCTCTCTCTCTCTATCTCTTCTTCTTCTTCTCTACAGTGGCACTTCCCTTTCTATAGTGGCACTCCTATATAGTGGTAGTTGTTTCCGATAGTAGTAGTAGTAGTAGTAGTAGTAGTAGAAGTCATAGTGTTAGTAGTGGTAATTGTAGATGTGGTAGTAATAGTGGCAATGGTAGTAATTGTGGTAGTAATAGTAGTAGTAGACGTGGTGGTGGTGGTGGTAACGGTGGTAGTTGTTGTAGTAGTGGTAGTAGTAGTGGTGGTGGTCGACGCCTTAGTCTAATTGTCTTAACCTAGAGCTGAGAAATTAAATGCCTACACTTCTTAACTCTTAGGGAGGGTCTAAATATTTATTATTAACCTAACCTAACCTAACCTAACCTTGCAACTTTCCTAATAATCAAAACACAATTAAATGCAAAAACTCACCATACAATTAACACGGCCCAGCTGTTCTACCTGCCTCAACATTTGCCAATAAAACGCTTGACAAATCACCTGTGTCAACCAACTACCAAACAAACATGTGTCAGCCGTGGTCAGGAGCGGTGGTCGGGTCAGCCATAACTCGGTGAGGACAGAGGCGGCTGAACACAATCAGAAACTAGTCAATTTGGCATCGAGAAGCGAAAACCACCCAAGGGACACACTACCCAACCTCCAGTACTACACAGCTGACCACCGCTGACCCTCGGCCTTATACTGTGATGGTCTCAACTGCTGGTGATTGTTGTAGTGGTGATGATGGTGTGGGGGATGGTAGTGGTGATGGTGAAGGTCTCGTAATATTGGCTGGATGGTGTGTAGAGGAATTGATGGTGAGGGTGGGTGTGATGGTGGACCAGGGCAGTTCCGTAATACCAGGAGATGCGTAAAATGTGTTGATGGTCTGGCTGAGTTTTTATGTGTCTTAGAGCTGTCAACGGCTCCTGACACTACTTCTTGTTATGTCGTGGCTGTCAGCATCGTGGGGCTATGAGGAAGACTGCTGCTGTGTTGTGTAAGCTACCTGTGCTATGTATGTATGTATGTATGTATGTATGTATGTATGTATGTATGTATGTGTACGTGTGTGACCCTTGCTGTGTTACTGTGAGGGAAGACAGGAGGCAGGAGGAGGGTGAAGGATGTTCTCATATTGTAGGATTTCGTTAAGTATTTTAGGAATAACGTGTTGCTGTGGTGACCTGTGGTGGGATTAGGTTAAGTTAGGTCAACATAGTGTTTATAGTCTTAGTGTTGTTGAGAGATAAATCACACACACACATATCCTTTCTCTCTCTCTCTCTTCACTGATTCACTCATTCAAACACCCACCCACTCACCCCCACCCACACCCACCCCCCACATCCACCCCATCCACCACCCACCCCACCCCACCACCCACCCCCCACCACCATACCCACCCCACCCCCTCCCACACCCACCCCCATCCCACCCACCCACCACCCCACCCCACCCACCCCACCCACCCATCCACCCACCACACCCACCCATCCACCCCCACCCCCTACCCACCCACCCACCCACCCACCACACCCCCACACCCACACATGAGCCTGATAGCTGTCCCGTCTCACCGAGAGTTCTTGGCAATGCACTTAAAGGTTCCTATATCCTGTGGCTCCACCCTACGGATCCTGAGCTTCATGTATACCTTATAGGAGTTCTCGGTCACTATAGGCTCGTAGCGCTCATCTGAGGGGCGTGGGCAGAAGAGGACCAGTTAATTTATTTTTTTGAGGGTTGATGTAGGTAGGGAGAGAGAGAGGGGAAGAAGAGAGGAGAAAGGGGGGGAGAAAGATGGGGGGAGAGAAAGAGAAGGAAGGGGGAGAAAGAAGGGGAGAGAAAAAAGAGAGGAGAAAAAATATGAAGAGAAAAGGGGGGAGAGAGAGATGGGGAGAGAAAGAAGGGGGTGAGAAGGAAGGAGTAGAGAATGAATGGAGAGAGAGAGAGAGAGAGATAAGTTTATTTTTAACATAATATTAAGTTCAATTTAATTTGCTTTATATTAATTTATCATTGTATAAACTAACGATACATTAAAATCAGATTACAATAAGGTCAGGTTAGGATAGGTTGAGTTAAGTTAACACACTCACCTGCCACGATCATGTCACCGTTCGTGTTAGTCCAATAGTTGATGCTCTTAGGGAAGGCTTCGGTGTGGCACTCAATGGTCAGCTCCTGCCCTATGTAAGCTCCCTCCAACTGCTGAGGCACCCACGCTACCGGCGGGACTGTCAAGCACACAGACACGCAAAGGGAGGAAGTTAAAACGATGATTATTTACTGAAACTAACACAAACATTCACATACTCACTCGCTTACACACACACACACACACACGCACACGCACACACGCACACACGTACGTATACTGCCCCTGATCACCTGTTAGTCCTCATTAAGGTGTTCGACTGCCTTATTACTCTTCATTCACACACACATTCTTTTTAATAATTAATTTTACCTGTGAGTTAAATCTCTCTCTCTCTCTCTCTCTCTCTCTCTCTCTCTCTCTCTCTCCTCTCTCTCTCACCATCCATCAGTGAAGGCTCCAGGTAAGGCCCCTGGAAGCCGCACCTCACCTGTTCATGGGATATGTATGAACGTTAAGGGGGAAATAATGTAATTTTTCACCTAAGGCTCAGTTGGTGTGGCGTCTCTCTCTCTCTCTCTCTCTCTCTCTCTCTCTCTCTCTCTCTCTCTCATCTCATTCATAAAACAACGAAAAAACCTAATAAGGAAGAAGACAAGGGCAGAATAACTTCGGAAGAATGAGAAAAGAGAAGATTATTTTTGTCATTATCATTGTCATTATTTTTCTCACCTTTATCATCACTTCTTCACTATTTTTATCACTTTATCACTATTTTTGTCATTTTTTACTATTTGGGGCAATTTTTTATCACTATTTTTGCCGCTATTATTTTACTATTTTTGTCAAATTTTTTTTTACTATTTTTGTCACTATTTTTGCCTCCTCTTAAAAAGTCTTTATAAATTTATGGATCTAATTTATCAAGGTTCCAACACTAATTGGTTTTAGGTTATTCATAGCTAACATTCATTTGTTCAATAAATATACATTATCACACACACACACACACGCGGACACACACACACACACACACGGACACACACGGACACACACACACACGCTCTTAATTCAACACCACGAGAGAGAGAGATTCATTTTCACCTCTTCCTCTCTCCTCTCACCTTCCTTCCCTCTCGCCCCCTCCCTCCCTTCCCCACACTCCCTCCATCCCCCCCCACCCACCTCCACCCCACAACACTCAAAAATTACACTTACACTGGACTCGAAGCTGTGTCCTCTTGCTGATCGAAGGAGGTATGCCATTAGAGGCTATGCACAGGTAGGAGCCCATCTGAAGTCGTGACACCTTCCTCATCTGTAGGGTCTCCCCCTCCACCACCCGCTCTGCGCTCGTCACAACGCCGTCACGCCCGTCCACGTCAACCATCACACCGCCCATAGCGCCCACATCAGTACCATCAATGACAAGGACCATCGTTGATGTACCATTTATGGGAGGTACCGCTGTGGTGGGTTGCTGGAGTGTTGTGGTGGGTTAGTGTACTGTTGTGGTGGGTTGGTGTACCGTTGTAGTGCAGGGTTAGTGTACCGTTGTGGTGGGTTGGTGTACCGCTGTGGTGGGTTAGTGTACCGTTATGGTGGGTTACTGTACCGTTGTGGTGGGTTAGTGTACCGTTGTAGTGCAGGGTTAGTGTACCGTTGTGGTGGGTTGGTGTACCGTTGTGGTGGGTTAGTGTACCGTTGTAGTGCAGGGTTAGTGTACCGTTGTGGTGGGTTGGTGTACCGCTGTGGTGGGTTAGTGTACCGTTATGGTGGGTTACTGTACCGTTTATAAGGTAGTGTTAAGATCACCTGTATTCCAAGTGACACATAAATTAAGTGTGTTAAGTAACTGTCTCATAAGTGTGAAGCGTATACATTAGTACATCTTGTAAGTGTACACGCGTTTATTCATGACATAACTCCAGGTAAATTAGCTAATTAGTTCACCTACTTGTATAATAATTCAACTTACTAATAAAAGAAGTATTATTTAGTATATGAAATGAATTTAAATGTATAAAAATATTGAATATGAAAAATTATTCAAATTATTCCCAGAATATTTTTTTTTTGAGGGGGGGGGAGAATCTTGTTGCCAAATTTTGACTTAGACGAGTGAGTTGGTTGAGGTAGTTACGGGTCAACAGTACTTAACATCTGACACCCACACCACAAGTGACTCTCCTGACTTTAAAGTGACTTAAAGTTTACTGAATTAATTGCTCTCGTGTACTTATTGACGCGGCAACACCTCACGGTCCAGGATAAGTGGATGAAGGATTCCAACTGGGTCCTTGTAGCTGATATATCCTATACTTAAGTAACAATTAATATAAGTGTATCCTAAAAGTAACACAAGTTAAAAAAAGTAATCCTAACCTAACCTAAAAGTATCACAAAAAATAGTAATCCTAACCTAACCTAACCATACCTAACCTAACCTAACCATACCTAACCTAACCTAACAGTATCACAAAAAAATGATAATCCTAACCTAACCTAACCAAACACTGACTCTCTAACTCGGAACAAACACCAACTTCACTTTTAATTAGAGTTTACCTGAGTTTTTTTCTTCACCTGACCTAAGAAAAACAGACGTTAATTTAGTAAACTTTTACCTCAGTATAGGAAAATATTTGTGTCTACCTTACCTGTGTTTATGTACTCTAGCTTACCTCTGTTTATGTACTTTAGCTTACCTGTGTTTGTGTACTCTAGCTTACCTGTGTTTATGTACTCTAGCTTACCTGTGTTTATGTACTCTCCCTCACCTGACCTCGTACTTTACCTCACCTGCCTCACCTGTCTTTTCATTATCGAGTACAATGTCCTCGTTGTCCTCGCGGCGCCACACAATGCTGGGAGTAGGATGACCTTTGGCTCTACAGGTCAAGGTCACATCCTGGCCCTCACGAATGGTCATGTCATCAGAGGACTCTCGGTCAATGATGTCAGGTGGCACTGTTAGAAGGGTGGCACTGTTAGAAGGGTGGCACTGTTAGAAGGGTGGCACTGTTAGAAGGGTGGCACTGTTAGAAGGGTGGCAGGGTGGCATGTTAGAACTGGAAGGGTGGCACTGTTAGAAGGGTGGCACTGTTAGAAGGGTGGCAATGTTAGAAGGATGGCACTGTTAGAAGGGTGGCACTGTCAGGGGGGGTGGCACTGTTAAGAGGGTGGCACTGTTATAAAGGTGGCACTGTTAGGAGGAGTGGCACTGTTAGAATGGATACTAACCCATGACAGTACCCTCAAACAGTGACCCTTGATAGTTACCCATGACAGTAGGCCTATGTAAGTAGCCTCTAACAGCATCCTCAAACAGTATAGCACTTAACAGTAGCCCCTAACAGTATAGCCCCCAACAGTAGGCGCATGACAGTAGACCCTAACAATCAAGTAATATAGTCCCTAACAGTAACCTATAGCAATACACTCAAACAGTATAGCCTCTAACAGTAGCCTCTAACAGTATAGACTCTAACAGTATAGCCCCCAACAGTAGCCCCCCAAACAGTATAGCCCCCAAACAGTAGCCCCTAGACTCACCCACAACATCGACGTAGCCCTGACGATAGCGCATGGGATCAGTGTTGACTTGACACATATACCAGCCTCTGTCCTTCTCTCGCACGTTCTTCAGCTCGAGGTGCCAAGTCCTGTGGTCGTTGTGCAGGAGTGCTATCCTCGGGTTCCTGGTAATCACTTGCTTGTGGATAGTTAGGATAGTTTGTGTGTCTACCTGCACCCACGCCACCTGAGGGTAGATGATAAAAAGGGGGATGGGGTTAGTTGTTAAGAGAGACTAGATGGGATAGTTGACTGTTTTGTCTAGTTGAGGCAGCGCTGAAAGTTTCCCAGTGTTACTTTCTCTCTTTCTATATTAAACTTCATTAGGCACTTTCCATCATGACTTCCCCACTACCATTTTTAGCATCGTTGAACACTTTCTCCATTGTCACTTTCCATCGTCACTTTCCATCCGACTTGTAGCAGCGGTGGACAGTTAATGCGATTAATCGATAACTTATTTTCTCTGGCCTCACAACCATCGACAGTCTCCCCTCCAATTCAATGGCCTTAAAATCAGATATTTCACATGGGAGAAACTGTATTTTATTCTTTTTAGCGCGGCAGCTTGAGAATCTTCCTCCGCCTCCACCCTGACCTGACCTTCATTATATAAATATAGATTCTGTTCGTGAATTCTTAATCTGTCTCGTACCCAAGAGATCGCAGCGGCCTCCAACACAGACGTTCATGATTAAGTGAAACATGACTGGTAGCTGATGTTACAAGTTTCAGTAACGTGATTGGCCAAAATAGATCCTTGTCCTAATGAGGCCTTCGTGATAATGGTTAGGTGAAAGTAGGTGAAGACTTGTTAAATTGGGTTGGGTTCGGTTAAGTTGGGTTAATGCGGGGGTTAATTTCACCATCATCTGAGGCTGTGTTGAGGTGACACAGTAAGCACGTACCACCACACCACCAATACCGTATCATGCCTTAACAACTACGGTCCTTCTCACCACACATGACGGGAGTGTTCTGGAAATGACACCTCACATTCAGCCGGATAGACTTGCACTTCTGACGTGCCTGAGACTAACACCAAGCCCAGCTGTCCCAAGTCTCTTATGTCAGTGAGGTTAAGTTGTAGATAATACCGTGATTCATACAGCAGAGGTCAGCCTTTACACTATCACATGTAAACAAGACCGAACGACAAGAGTCAACTATAAGACGATACTCGAGGATGTGGGCTGCAGATCTCATCCCGCTGCCAGAGTGATGAGACGTGAATCATAAACTCTACGGTAACGTCAACCCAAGTTTAACTACAACGTTTTTGGGGGGTTTAGATTACTGAGCCAAACACGAGGCTTGACCGAGCAGCAATGATGTACAAATAAAACCTTTGATCTTATGTTTTGAAAGTGAAAGTGGGTCCCATAGGCATGACTGCTCTTTAGGGACAGTGTGGATACAGCACAGTTTGTATTTCCAGCACTATACTCGTCTGCCTTCACTTTTCTGACTGTAAAAATTAGAGATCTTGTTGTCTGGGATCGAATCAGGGTACCATAGAACAGGAGGAGAGTGCTGTATCCACTTGCCCACTACACCCCATTTCTAATATAACTCTCTCTCTCTCTCTCTCTCTCTCTCTCTCTCTCTCTCTCTCTCTCTCTCTCTCTCTCTCTCTCTCTCTCTCTCTCTCCACACACCCAGTAACTACAGCACCATAACACAACACCATAACTCGTCACCATACCCCATACCTCACCACATAATCACACATCAACTCCAGCGTTTACAACTTTATGAATATTTTGTTAACTCGTATTTCTACTATATGTGTTTTATAATTGAAAATTTACATGGAAATATTCTAAATAGTGGAGTGTGGAACCTGGCCTGGCATTTTGCAACCTCACTCACCATTGTCACCCATCATTGTCATCCATCATTGTCATCCATCATTGTCATCCATCATTGTCACCCATCATTGTCATCCATCATTGTCATCCATCATTGTCATCCATCATTCTTAACCACCATAATTGTAGGTATTTCCGTCTTTGTATATTTTTATGTATACGATATATACCTGTATTTGTCAGTTTTTGTTTATGAATGTATGTATATGTATATTAATTTGGTCTATCAGTTCTGTTTAATGGTTCTCAAGACTATGTTTACTTCCTATTAGTTATTCTATGTTTGAGAATATTTTTTTTTCCAATGAATCCGTGAATCCTGAACCATTTGAATCCTTGAACTCCGAACCCCCAAACCCCTGAATCATCCGAACCCACCTCCCCGAACCCCTGAACCCTTTGAATTTAACATAATCCTAGGTAGGTCAGGTTTCATTACTATTCACTGTGGCCTGTCTTATTTATGTCAGGGTGTTGCAATGCTGAGGGTCGTGAGGTGGTGGCTGGACCTTCTCTCCCTCATTCACCCCCATCCCCCAACCCCCACTACCACCCCCACCACCACCGTCAAGAAGGTGTCACACACACCTCGCGCTCTGCATCACTAATGTACCATGATTAGCGGTTTCTGTCATACTCATAAGTGAAGGTAGTAATTAATTAACAGCTTTCAGAAACTATTATGAATACTAATAAGCATCTTACTCGCCTGCTGCACGGAGTAGGCTTCCATCTTGAGGTCTAACTTAAATCAGGGTCTAATTCTGAAAGTGTCGTATTCTAAGTTGTTCCTTAAGTTGTAGTGTGAGAATATTTATAATTGATTTATTTGATATATGATAAAACAAATATGGCGGGCAGTATGTAAATAATTATAGGGAGTTAGAATATTTTTTTTTTTAGGGGGAGAGGAGCTTGTCACTGATCAATAACTGTTAACTGTGTGTAACTGCTGCTTCGTTCGTGTTGTGGAGATGTAATTTGACTGGGTAGATACAGTTATAATATTTCAGTTCGTCCTAGACCAGTCAACAGCTTCCCATCGTTCATATTGTATCCAGTTTATATTGCTTTTGTTTTTCATATGTTTTCATCTTTTTTTTTTTGTCTTTGGAATAATTTTTAAGTTATATTAATATCCCTAAGTTAGTGTTTAGTTCTTGGGATAAAACATTAAAATTGTTTCGGTAACTTGAAGAACATATTAATTTGTTTTACGTTAGCGGTCAAGTCACAAGTTTAATTGAAATTGGTGTAAATATTGACAGGATTTTGTTTTGGTTGGATTTGTTTTCTTGTTTTCATTTTTGTTTATTTATTAGTTGGTGTTTATGTTTGTTTGTTATTGTGTGTTTTAAGGGGACGGGAAGTACATGTTATTGAGGGTGTATAGAGAGGGTGGTTGTATCAGGTCATTGTTTAGGTTAAATTATCTGTTTTATCTTCAATAACACACCCCCCCCATCTCCTCTTTCCCCTCTCCTCCTCACCAACAACACCACTCCTAACCTCCAAAACCACTCCCGGCCTCCAACACCACCTCCTCATCACCCACACCCTCCCCAACTTCCTGACCTCAGTAGTCTCGTGGTCACCCCGCTGCCTCCCTCAGATAACCATCAGGGGGGAGGGGAGGGTGGCGACCTGCAGGTAATATCCGGAGTATTGTGAGGAACCCAACCATACTGACGTCGACGCTGAAGGAGAACACCCACCACCCGTCTTACGCTTATTTCCTCCCTCTCCTCCCCCACCACTCCCAGGGTAAGGATCTCCCCCAATACTCCTATGGTAATGTCCTCCACCAATAAGGCGTCAGAAACACGTAGATAAAACTAGAGGAAATCCTTTATTTATCTCCGCTTGTGTGTTGCAGGTGACGTGAGGGCCAGGTAGGAGGGGTGGTGAGGAAGGTGAGGTGCCTTTAATGAAAGGACATTGTCTTTCCCTCTTTCACCTTTTATTCTTACCGTCAATGGAAGAAGAAGGGCATTGCTTCATCCTCCTCTATATTAAGAAACGGGTCATCAAAGGTGAAAATAACACTATCTCCCTCCCCCCTCCCTTTCTCCCTCTCTCTTTCTCCCTCTCCCTTTCTTCCTCTCCCTTTTTAAAAGAAGCTTACTTTCCCACATTGATGCCTCGCCCACTGATGCTCACTATAATGCCCCTCATAACAATGGGTACGGCCGTGGGGCATAAGGGAAGCTGCCATATAAATGACTTGGCTGAGGTTTGATTATGAAGACTAGCCAATGGTATACCTGTCAGGCTGTCTCACACCCAAGGTACCCACCCCACCCTACTCCACTCCACCCCACCCCACCCACGATCGTGTGTATTTCGACCACATACCTTAAGGAACATGTGTCACTAATTAAAAAAGAGGCAGGTATGTTTATGGGGCGGGGGAGGTGTGTTTGTATGTGTGGTTGGGGGGGAGTGTGTGTATGTGTGTGTGGGGGCTAGGTGTATGTGTGTGTGTGTGTGGTGGGGGTGTTTTGTGTGTGTGTCTGTGCATTAATCTCTACTATACAGTCCTAAATTTGTGATAATAGTCGTGTTCTTGACAGTTGTGGTGGTGGTGGTAGGATGATGGTGATGGTAGTGGTGGAGATGAGTGTTGGTGTGCTGGAGATGAGTGTTGGTGTGGTGGTGGTAGTAGTAATAGTAGTGGTAGCAGTACTAGTGGGGGTGTTGGTGATGGTGATATTGGTAGTGGTAGTAGTGCTTGTGATGGTGGTGGTAGTGGTAGCGAGGCGATCAAGTGAACAAGGGCAAGAGAGAGAAGGAAGGAGAGAGGGAAGGAGAGAGGAAGGAAATACAAGGAGAGAGGGGGAGAGGAAAGAGAGAGAGAGAGGGAAGAGGGGGAAGAGGGGGCCAGCCAGACATCGAACAAACCAACACAAGGCCACTTTGTATAAGCCAGTGTAGACGACGCCAAAGCTCTCGCCTCAAGATTAAGCACAGTCCAAGATGTTGATATGGTAATACTCCCCCTCCACTGTGAGCTCCTCCAGAACACACCCACGCCATATATGTAAACACACCCACGCCATATATGTAAACACACCCAAGCCATATATGTAGGTTATATTGCAGGTGACAGTTAAAGTGAGAGATAGTGTGAGACAATATCATAATGAGAGACAGTACCATAGTGAGAGACCGTACCATAGTGAGAGATATAGTGGGAAAGAAAGAGAGTGTGTGAGTGTGTCTCTTATGAATGGCTCCGTCGCCACTGACCAACACTAGTGCTTCGCCCGCCAGTGTAAATGTCGTCAGCGTGTGTATGTGAGGGTGTAAGAGAGAGAGAGAGAGAGATGAAGGAGGGTTCTATCTAGGGTAAAATTCCTTCTACAGCTACAGACTGACTCATAAAATTATCCATAACATAACTGGAGCGTCGCCAAGTTGCTCGCCTCTGCTGAATACTAGTGACGGCTCTGGTTGGGAGGGTGGGGGGGTGGATGTGTTGACTGTTGTGGTGGTGTTGTTAGTTGTGGTAGTGATGGTAATGGTGTTGGTGGTGGTGTTGGTAATATTGATGGTAGTGGTGTAGTGGTTATTGATTGTAGTTTGTGGTAGTGGTAGCTAGTAGTGTTGATAGTATAGTGGTGGTAGTGGTGATAATAGTAATCAAATCAAATCAATCATCTCTCACCTACCTTCAGGATCCTACCATAGATAACCCCCCCCACTTCAACCCCCCCCCTATGGTCCTTTTACACGGGTCTACTTAATATTCCCCGTGTGTGAGGTCCTACAGTATACGGTCTTATACGCCACTCTCACACGGGGAAGGTCCTATGTGAAGACCATTGAGGAACTACATAATTAAGGTCACTCACGTGTGGCTGTAGTATAAATAACACGACATATCTATAACAATTCCTATTAGGTACTATATTAAGGTTACTAGTGCAGGATAACAGTATATAATAGATGAGTAATGATATCTACTTATGCTGGACCTTTTTGAGGGGGCTTCAACTGGACTAACTTCAATTGGACGTAGGTTGGACTTAGGTTGGACTTAGGATGGACTTAGGTTGGACTTAGGTTGGACGTAGGTTGAACTTAGGTTGAACTTAGGTTGGACTTAGATTGGATTTTGGTTGGACTTAGGATGGACTTAGGATGGACTTAGGTTGGACTTCACTGCACCTTACCTTGAATCCTTTGAGTTGTTCGACAGTGCAGGGTAGGAGGGCATCTCTACCCACAGTGACGGTGATGTTGGGTACGTTCTCAATAAACTTTGGTAGTGACTCCTCATCCTCACTTAGTACTGCCAGGGAGAGAGAGATGGTGTGTGTTAGTGAGGGAGAGAGAGAGAGAGAGAGAGAATTATACATACAGACAAATGAACAGAGGCACAAATGTATACTGACATGTATTATACAGATGGATGCTCATACATACAAGGACGATCACATGCAGATATACATACATATCCTTTCACCCCCCACATACACACAAACACAAGCACGCACATCTTAGGTTAGGTTAGGTTAGGTTTACGTTGGGTTTAGGTTAAAGTGAAGTGATTGTCAGTATTCCAGTACACTTGTGATACACTCCCAATTGTACACAGAGGGGAAAGAGGGGAGAAACTCGAGTGATAAAGAGGAAGGACAAAATTAGGGGTGACCAGAGTGAGGGGAAAGAGGGTGAGGGGGGGGAGAGATTGGGAGGAGAGTAGAACTAAAGGTGAGGGAAGTGAGGGAGAGGGGAAGTGAGTTTAGTGAGAGTGAGAGGGGAGGGAGGAGTAAGGGGAGAGAGGATATGGAAGATGAGTCAGATTGAGGGGAGGGAGAGACTAAGATAGGGGAGGGGAAAAGTGAGATGAGGGGAAAGGGAGATTTAAGGAAGATTGAGACTCGAGAGAGGCATAGTGAGGGGAGAGTGAGGGGTGAGAGATACTGAGAGAGAGAGAGAGAGAGAGAGAGAGAGAGAGAGAGAGAGAGAGATGATTGGAATGTATCGAAACACGTTTAATAAAAAATGACTCTCTCTCTCTCTCTCTCTCTCTCTCTCTCTCTCTACGAATCATCGGCATTCAACTTGTATCACTCTAGTTATGATTGGTTAGAATTAGGTTATCTCCAACAAATCATTATCCCCCAACAAAACTTTCTCCCAAAACAACACATTATCACCTCCCCTCTTCCCCCTCACTGTACCCTCCCTCCCACCCTCTACCCTCCCACCCTCTACCCTCCCTCCCTCCCTTCCACCCCCACTCTCTCACTCCCTCCCACCCCCACCCTCCCTCCCTCCTTCCACCCTCTACCCTCTCCCTTACACCTCCCTCCCTCCCCCCTCCCTCCCTCCCACCCTCCTGCCTCCCACCCCCTCCTCCCACCTCCCCCCCACCCTCCCTCCCATACCATATTTTACGTTCCAGAATCTCCCAGAAACTATTTTAAGTTTCAACTCAACACAACAATGACGACGACTACTCAGTTATGGCCACGAGGGAAACATTATACACGTTACAGGTTTCCGTTCGTCGTCTTAGAGGGTGAGACAACTATGCCGGGAATGGAGATGGTAGAGGTTCTTGGCGAGGTGTTCCAGCATTCTCGAGCTACTTGACGCCTACCTGTCTATCCCGGGAGTCGAACCTGTGGTAATTACAATCACTGCACATCTTGTCTATGCAACAACCCACCCCACTACCCTATCCTACTCCTTCCTAGCCAACCAGCCAACCAGCCAGCCAGACAGACTCCATGGTGTATATTTCGTGTTTCAGCCTTCGTGGTTTATCTTTCCTTTTTCATCCTCCATGGTTCATCCTCCGTGCATCATCCACCATAGTTCATCCACCATAGTTCATCCACCGTGGTCCACACAGCTACATCGCCTGACTCATGTCTGGATTGTGCTGACGTCGTAACAGACTTATCAAACGAGAGCATTTTGCGTTGGGAAATATCCTTGAGGAGAAACGCTAGGGTCTGCGAGGCTCGGGTTTGACGCCTCACTCGTAAAACATCCAAGGAATACTGATCCTTCAGGGGGACGTCTCCTTCAAGGGGACGTCTTCTTCAGGGGGACGTCTTCTTCAGGGGGACGTCTTCTTCAGGGGAACGTCTCCTTCAGAGGGACGTCTCCTTCAGGGGGACGTCTTCTTCAGGGGGAAGTCTCAGAAAAATGTGTACACGCAGCGTATCATCAAATAATATGATGATAGTGGTAGTGAATGTGGACAAGTGGTGATAGTGGTAGCGATACTTGTATCCATAAGCGTAGGTGGATGGTGATAGTGGCGGTAGTAGTTGTAGTAGCAATGATGGTAGCCGGGTGGTGATAGTGGTGGTAGTGGCACACATGGGAGGGGGGGTTAGATATGGAGGGTTGGGGAGGGAGGGAGGGGGTAGGGGGAGTGGGGGGAGCTTCACACCAGCGAGGTAAATTTATGTTGGCACACATAAAGGTGATAGCCCAGGGACACTACCACTAATTCTCTCATTATGGCTGCTGGACCTTCACTACAGCGACCATACACACACACACACACACACACACACACACACACTTTTTTGTGAGACTGGAAATTAACAAAAGCCACTCGCCAACATGCTGTACACCGACATACACCAACATACGCTCCCATACACCAACACACACCACAACACACCACTACCAAACACCACCACACACACTACACACCATCACCACATACCACAACACCACCACTTTAGACTGCACCATGGAGCTATCATCACCATCTACTACGCAGCATATCAAAGTGTATTATTTTCTAAGTGGTGTTTGAATGTTTGTTAATACACTTGTTCTGTACCTGTAGTTATGATGTACTAATTGATACCTGTACCTGCATTTCTGTACCTGTAATTATCTTTGGACTCTTTAATTTATATTTATTTGTACTTGTCTCTACACCTGTACCTGAACTGAATCTTCTTCTTCACCTGTACTTACATAAACACCTGGACCAGCCACACCACCCACATCACCTACACTACCCACACCACCCACACGAGCCACACCACCCACACGAGCCACACCACCCACACGAGCCACACCACCCACACGAGCCACACCACCCACACTAAGCAAAACATTACACACTTTTAACACATTTACCTCACCAACTGCAGTATTTCTCCCGCCGCAGCTCCCACAGTTGACTGCTTCAAGCATTCAACATTTTCCCATGAGTTCACAGCTTCGTAGCTACATAAAGGTGTGAAGGTAGGTGTGTGTGTGTGTGTGTGTGTGTGTGTGTGTGTGTGTGTGTGTGTGTGTGTGTGTGTGTGTGTGTGTGTGTGTGTGTGTGTGTGCGTGCGTGTGCGTGTGTGCGCGTTGCTGTGGTGGTGTACCTGTGCTTGTTACAGTCACCTTGTTACTAGGGTGGTGGTGTTACTTGTACACTTGATTACCTTGTTGCTGTGGTAGCCTCGTCTGTGTTTCCGTCACATAGTTTCTGGGGCGATGTAATTTGTCCTTGCGTGTGCTTGCTGTTCCTGCGGCCACACTACCTCTTCACAGACCATTACACACACACACACACACACACAACACACACAGCTCCCCCTCACACACAACCCCAGCTAAAGTGTTCCTACCCTCAACTTTTCTTTAACACCATCACTGCTATAGTCTCTTCTTACTTATTTTTAATATAGTTCGTTAATGTATTGTTTAAACTATCATTGACTTGTTTGTTTGTTTGTTTGTTTTTTAAGAAGCCAACTGGGTGGGGGGAGGTGTTAGCCCCTGGGGGAACGAATTAAGTAGGTGGATCAGGTCGTGGTTTAAAGGGCGGGTGTAATTAGCGTGTGGCCAGAGGGTGGGGGGAGGGGGTGGGTGAGGGGATGAGGGGGGTGGGTGAGGGGATGAGGGGTGGGTGAGGGATGAGGGGATGTGGGTGAAGGGGTAGGGAGGGGGATGAGGATGGATAGAGAGGATGGGGTGATGGATGAGGGGATGGGTGAGGAGAGGAGAGGATGAGGGAGGATGAGGATGGGGGATGGATGAGGATGGATGAGGATGAGGGATGGGCAGGGGCACTTGATTACCCAAGGGGCCGGCAGCCTCGTCACTACCAACACCCCTATCCTCTCCTCCCTCACTTTCTCCTCACCTCCCTCTCAACTCCCCCTCACCTCACCACCACCTACCTCTACTCTCCTCATCTCCTCACCTCACCTACCTCCCCTCACCTCACCTCACCTCACCTCACCTCCCCTCACCTCACCTCACCTCACCTCACCTCACCTCGCCTCGCCTCGCCTTCATCATTGGTGTACTAATTGACCCGCGCAAAAACCCGAGTTACGGGATTATTAACTTTATGTTCGGGTGATTTAGAGGTGATGTCGGTAATGGATTTACATTGGGATATTGAAAGAGAATTATAGATCATTACTCTTTATATTTTTATGACTTTTTTTACTTTTTTTTTACTTTTTATTATTTTTTTTTCGTTTAAAGTTGATGCTCCATGACAGGATGAGTCTATGGGAAATAATATAGGTGATGGTGATAGTCTCGGATAGTGTGTTTATAGCTGATAGTAACAGGACACACACACACACACACACACACACACACACACAAACACACACACACACACACACACACACACACACACACACACACACACACACACACACACACACACACACACACACACACACACCTTAATACAATTCATCCAATAAATAATTTACAATCCTGAAAGTTTATCCGTCAAAACAAAAAACAAAACAAAAAAACAATTAAAGCCTCAACAAGCAATCAACAGATGGTCCAGCGTCAATATCAATTCTCGCTGTCTCCTTAAAAATTCGAGTTGGTTCGAGTTCCTGGTCCACCTCCCTCCCCCTCTCTCTCCACCCACCTTATCCACCCCCTCTCTCCAACCCCGCCCAATTCTGAGGAACAGCTGACCGGGGAATGGATGCCATGACCACCACCACCACCACCTGTATTATCTCCACCACCATCACCACCACTATTACTACCTCCATCATTCCCCACTACCACCACCACTACCACCACCACTTTCACTACCTCCATCATCCCCACCATCACCAACACACCATCACTACTAACACCATTACCACCATCACCACTACCACTACTACTACTACTACCACCACTGTCATCACTACAACCACCATCCCCCACCTTCACCATCTGTTCCAGGAAACCATTACCTAACGACTCACAGTTTACCAAGTCTTTGTCCTTTGGCGGTAATTTCCACTTTATTGCTTCTCTCTCTCTCTCTCTCTCTTCATTCTTATTTTC